ATTTTTGACTATCAGTACAGTTCGCATTTATATCAACGAGCAGCTTATTAGATTTGTTTTCGTTTGTACTACATATGTGCATATATACATGTGCACAAACATATGTGCATACACAAACATATGTACATACATACAAATATATATACAACTATTCAAACATATTTANCTGCCACCATATCATTAAATCCTTCACCGTCGATTAAGTGTGCAATTGCTAAGATTTCGGTAAGTCCGTTTTCTTCAGATGCTACCCCTGTTTCTTCTTACACATCCACAGACGGCAATATTTTATTCCAGCATCCACTTAATGTTGACTTTTTCAGCTCCTTTAATGATTTCGCTATTATTTGGATACAGTCTTTGATTGTCTTCCAAGCGCTTGTTAAATCCACAGATGACGACTCTGTTAAATTTAAAATCCACTGCAAAGACCTTCGGATATAATACATTTTGAATGTGTAAATTATCCCTTGATCCATTGGCTGCAACAGTGACGTGGTATTAGGTGGCATGAACATAATTTTGACATTAGGATGAGTCAAATTTTGTGGATGACCTGGAACGTTATCTAAAAGCAACAAAGCTTTGAAGTCCGAATTCCTCTTCTTTAAATATTTCTCAACTTCTATAACAAAGCAATTATAAAACCAATCACTGAAAATATCTCTGGTAACCCAAGCCTTCGAATTTGCTCTCCAGTAAACTGGCAATGAATTCTTGTCTGTGTTTTTGAGCGCACGAGGATTTAGTGACTTATAAATTAGCAATGGTTTGACTAAACAATCACCGGATGCATTTCCGCACAAAAGCAGAGTTATTCGGTCCTTGGATACCTTATATCCAGGTGCACTCCTTGCATCTTTTGAAATAAAAGTTCTGTCCGGCATTTTTTTCCACCAAAGTCCATTTTCATCAGCATTAAAAACTTGATCCCTTACATATCCTTGGTCGTCAATATATTTTTGAATTTCTTTTGGGAATGTGTTAGCAGCTTCCACATCAGCCGAAGCTGACTGTCCTTGAACTTTTAAGCTATGAATAGCAAATCGTTTTTTGAAGTGCTCAAACCAGCCATTACTTGCAGTAAATTCTGCGGATACAGAAGGCTCTCCACTCTTTTTGAGGTTTTCATAAATGCTCAGAGCTTTTTCTTTGATGATGTGTTTGCTTAAAGGAATTCGCTTTTGGCAGTTATCTTCAATCCAAATATTAAGCGCCTATTCCATTTTTTCCATTATTGGTGGGCGTAGTCGATTGGAATATTTTATGGAGGTTAAGGAGCCATCAGCAACTGATTTTCTTATGGCCGACTCATTTTTCTTTATGGCCCGCACTGAAGCTTCATTTATCTTTAAGTTTTTTGCGACAGCAGCAATTTTTTCTCCTTGGCATAAACGATCCAAAATTATAATTTTTGTTTCCAAAGAAAACAAATTTATAAATTAAGACTTCAAAATTAAATAAGGAATTCTGAAACATATTCTACATACCTATTGAATTGAAATTATTTACTTATCTCACTTAATCAAATGTATGAGCATGTGTTGAGTTATATCCACAGAAGACACTTACATACTGAGCAAACCTGCCAAATTTGTTTGTAACATCGCGTTGCTAGACTTAATTCGGGGAATTCCTGATATCACTGCATATTCAAACACAAACGATGTATAAAAAGCTGCATTGAACAATTCAACAATTATGTAACTCATTTCTTCTCGCTCTCTCTCACAACATTTCATATTATGACCTACGAGTTTTATATGAATTCATAATGTTTGTCGGTAAAAGAGGTCTGCTTCTACTCCAGCAAAATATGTTATACCATTTAGCAGTAGATGGCGTTCAAATTTCGACTTAGAACT